GGGGGGGGGGGGGGGGGGGGGGGGGGGGGGGGGGGGGGGGGGGGGGGGGGGGGGGGGGGGGGGGGGGGGGGGGGGGGAGGTGATTTTCTGCTGGTGCCCGTTGTCATCTCATGGTTGACGTTAGTCCTTGACACGACCTGTGAACAGTTCCCCATCGGCATATCACTCCGGGCCACCCGCAACAACACTCATGCGAGATGCATACACTAACCTCTGGTAGGTGTCTGTCCAACTCAACGCTTTCCTGTATTACCCCGTTATCGGAGTAACAACCAGCCACAGGAACAGAGCTCAACAGGGAATGCCGCCAACAACAACCTAGGAGGTGTTCAGGTTCAAAAAACATCAACAACAACAATATCGCACTCAACAACTTGACCACAATAACAGGTGTGTTCGTTTAAGAATCCGACATGGAACCTAATACCAACTAGATTGTAAGTATCTGAGAATATCTTTCTGGGCAAGTTAGCCCGTGAGCACGGGAATCACTCGGTTTAGTGATTGATCAGTACCGACAGATGAAGGTACTGGGTAAAGAGATCGGGACCGTTTATTATGTGAAGATAACAGCAACAACAACAATGCCTTAGAATTCTCTGTAGGGGTAACACAACACCGACTGTTATTTTTTTTGTCTTCACATTAAGACCGTTCCGATCTCTCTACCCAGTACCGTTGGAACAGGCTTTTACCCATCAATGACGGATTGCCTGGCTACAGTCGCTACACAGCCGGAGTCATGGATGATTTCCAACTACCAGCAAAAGTGGTAGGTGGCGTCAACAACAACAACAACAACAACAACAACAACAACAACAACAACGACTCGATTCCAACGCACCTGTGGGTAGACGTGGCCTGGTGCATCGCCGCCTCGAGAGCGTCCACGTCAATCGCCGCCACCTTGAGCCGCATGTCAGCCGGAAGCCTATCCCACGCGTCTTCCCACTCCCACCCTTCCGAGATCGCCTGGCCCCCGTTGCGGCGGTGGATCTCGCACCTAAGACCCACCCCTTTCGGCTGCACTTTCTTCATCAACGGCTCCAGCGGGAATGTCTCCAGCAGCTGTTGTTGCAACGGCGATTGGGGGTCCCGCGAAGCGGAGCCCGCGAAGCGGTGGCGCAAACATTTTAGCGCTCGCCGTGAATGAAGACTTCAAAGAACAAAGATGGCGCCCGCAGTAAACAACATCTTCTTGCCGAACACTGTGTACATCAAAACCAAGAATTTTTACAATATTTTTCGTGAGTCCGATTACGAACCGCCAGACAAACGGCTAACGTATGCATACGTGGTGGAGAGATGGCACCCCCCTAGACCGTTTTTATGCCAACACCAAAAGTGGTGATTTTGGAAACATCTCGTATCGGGCTCTTTTCCGCACCCCATTGGCTGTGGAGCAATCGACCTTTGAAAGTCGGTCTAGCGTAGAGTGCCATCTCTCCGCCTCTTACGGAATACCACGGTACGGTACGGTATACGGTACGGTACAGACAGTGGAGCAATCGAGCTCTGAAAGACGGTCTAGGGGGGGNGGGGGGGGGGGGGGGGGGGGGGGGGGGGGGGGGGGGGGGGGGGGGGGGGGGGGGGGGGGGGGGGGGGGGGGGGGGGGGGGGGGGACGTCTCTCCGCCTCTTACGGTAATACAGCGGTCAATTGTACGAAGAGGAACCAATAACCCCAGCTCAAGCCCCGGCAAAAACTAGAGGTAACTACAGCAGTGCTGGCGCAATCTGTGCTTCT